CCCCAGAGGAGTCCTGGGGGGCTCCTCAGGCACCTGTGGAGGGAGGCGTCGTGAGGAGATGGGCGCCGGGCTGTGCGGCGGTCCCCAAGGACCAAAAAAACCCTGCCGGCGCGCGCCTCGCGTGCTGCCGGTCTGTGAGGGATGGCTCGAGCGGGGTCCCTTGTCAGGGCAGGCGTCTTTGAGAAGTTGCCCACAGGCGAGCTACGGGAACGTTTGACACAGGCGTGTGAGGAACATCCCCCGTAGGAAATGTTAGACGAGAATCACGAGAAGTGCGTGTCCTGTTCCCACCTTTTCTTACACCGCTTGGGTGCGATTCCTCTGTGCAGGAAACACAGTTGGTGTGTATCGCCTCTTGGTGTGTATCGCCTCCGTCGCTGGAGATGGTGCCTCAGTGAAGGCTTATTGCTGGAATGTGTCTTCCCTAAGCAAAAAATACCGTTTCACTGCGTTGTCCCAAGGACACACGACCTCCTGGAGCTTGTGCTGTGTGAACTTGGGCTGTGATAAGTTGTTTGGGTTGGAAGTTGTGGTGGTGATATTCGGTTCCCCTTTTGCAGTAGGGATAACGGGGTGGACAGAGTGAGCGTTGTCTTTGTGAGCATGGGCTAGCGATGGACACGTAAGGGGTAGAAATAGGTCAGGTGTTCCCTGTCCTCCTTAAAAGAAAAAAGTTTGGGACTGTTCCTTGTGAACAAAATATGTGTGCCAAACTGTCTACCTTTATCACCTTAGGGTGTTGTCTGCATACAGAAAAAATGTACAAATTACCCCTATCTCTCGCTTGTGTTGATACCCCCACCCAACATGAGAAGGGCAGGTTCAGAGTGTGGTCTCTATTCTTTTAGTTTGCGTTTTCAAAAAGTTGCTGATGGGCTTCTTCCCTGCGTTCATGCTACGATACACGGAATAAAAAGAGCTGCAAGGAACGCAGAGGCATGGATCCGTACAACCCGTATGCCTGCTGCAGGCGTCACAGGCTATTTGACATCCTCTTCCTTCAGGCTG